CAGGTTAGAAAGAAGTAAGTAGATACAGTACACATGAAGTGCAGCTGCATTTGTATGTAAGGAAGGCTATCGTTGATTCTGGCCTCAGTATAGTAAAGATGACAAATAGGAAATGATTCCTTACTTTTTACAAAACGATACCATCACAGTGACCTATAGAACACAGTAACAATGTCCATATGCTCTCTAAGGCTGTAATCTTTACAGATGTAGATTTCCACATCTTTATCCCATGGAATGACTGGTAAGATTTGAACATCTAACCTTCCGGTTAGCAGCTGAGTGCTTAACCACTGCATCACCAGGGATCCTATCATAATAGCAGGACAATATTCATAGACACACACACACACACATATATATATACACACACACATATATACATATGCCATCAAGTAGATTCTGACTCATACCAGTCCTATAGGGCTTCCAAGACTGTAAATCTTTATGGAAGCAGACTGCCTCATTTTTCTCCTACAGAGCAGCTGGTGGGTTCAAAATGCCAACTTGTTGGATAGCAGCCCAGTACTTTAATCATAGTGCCATTAGAGCTCCTCAAGACATATATAAGAATGTGTTATTTCATCCATCAGATAGTGGACTTATGGGACTCATACTAAGAGGTGCACAGGCTGAAATTACAGAGTTGCAAAAAAAAAAAAAAAGAATTGGGATGACTTCAAAGATAATACATTTTATTTATTTTAAAAGAAAAATCTCATATATTTTAGTGGTCTCTATCTAACATTTGAGGTTTCTATTTATAGTCAACTATAGGCCTTAAGATTGACTGTACCAACTATAGAAATTCTCATTTCAAAAACTAAAATGATCTTTATTATTATTTTTTTATAGTCTGTCATAGAATGGTCCGAATCCTTGAAGCAGCTACTCCACTTTCCTTCATTTCATCAAGGAATTCAGCAGCTTCCATAATTCAAAGCCCTTTTTGTTATTGACGGAGAAGTTATATTCAATTCCATTTATATACCATTTCAGAGCTTGCTATGTGAGAAACCTTCATAGAACAAAACTGCTTCTGCCTTTTGTTCCCAGGATTAAATGTATCATATCTGATACATTGTACTTGGTGCCTCCTGTTCTACAAATGGAGGGCTGCAACAGAAGGTGAAGCAATAAGGCTGATAAATGTCAGTGTGGAGCAAGGTGTATCAAGAGAAGGTTAGGATGAAACAAAATGTGTATGAACATCTGAATACAAAACAATTTGCTCTATAAACTTTCACTTGAATAACAATAAAAGTTATAAAATAAGAGCTTAAAAAAAAGAGAGAGAGAGAGAGAAAGTTGGAGTTTGTTTTTATAGCAGAATATCTGGGAACATACAAAGACTCTGAGAAAAACCCAAATCATTGTAGAAGGTCTAAAGTGGCTTCTCAGTTTGCTGTTAGTAAGCCTTACCCCTCAGTACACTGGGGATGATAGCCCCAAAGCCATGGAAGTTATTTGGGTGACTCATTGCCATCCAGTCAACTCCAACCAATAGCAACCCTGTATGACAAGGGTGTAATCTTTATGGAAGGCTCCCTGGTGGCATAGATGTTCAGTGCAAGACTTTTAAACAGAAGGTTGGTGGTTCAAACTCTGCAGGAGAAAGAATTGGCAGTCTGTATCCATAAAGATTCCAAAATCCATTGCTATTGAGTCAATTCTGACTCAGCGACCTTTAAGGAGATAGTAGAACTGCCCTCATGAACTTTCCAAAGTTGTAAATCTTTACGGAATCAGCAACCACTTCTTTCTCCCATAGAGTGGCTGACGGATTTGAAACACCAGTCTTTGGATTAGCAGCTAGTGCTTTAATCACTGCACCACCATAGAGCTTATCCAAGGTTCCTCAGTGTGGGCAAAACAAGATGTCAACCATCAAGTCAATGAAAATAACATATTTTTTGTTTATTACATCTTATCAAACTGCCTGGTAAAATATTGCTTTAATATTTAGTAGAACTTTACTAAAACAAATTCTGGGACAGAATTTCTTGTTTCTATCTTCTTAAAACAGTTTATCTACTTAGTTAGAACTATTCTTTTTTTATTTCTTCTTGGCAAGCTATTAACTTATCTTCTCCATTAATTTATGCTTTTAAAATACATTTTCAAATTTATCATTATGATTATATCTTCAAAATTTTCATAGTCATTTTTTACTTTTTGATAGGACTATAGTTATGCCTAGGAGCTCTGGTAGCATAGTGGCTAAAGCACTTGACTGCTAACCAGAAGGCTGGTGGTTCAAACCTACCAGCCACTCCTCAGAAGGAAGGTTGGGCAATCCTACTTCCATAGTGATACTGCCTCAGAAACCCAAGGAGGGGTCGCTATGAGTCGGGGCTGACTCGACGGCACATAACAACAACAACATAGTTATGCCTAAGGCATTTGACTGCTAACCAGGAAAGCTGGTGGTTCAAACCTGCCAGCAACTCCTTAGAAAGAAGTTTGGTCAATGTACTTCCATAGAGATACTGCCTTGGAAACCAAAGGAGGTATCTCTATGAGTTGCAATCGACTCAATGACAGTGAGTTTGTTTGCTTATTGCTATTATTTTTAATAGTTGTTATACATTAGGGGAAAAAAAAAAAAAAAACCTCTGATAGTGTTAATTGTGACCTTTGTCCTCATTGTTTGCAAAAATTCCTAGATTTTCATTTATTTTATGAGTCTTTTTAAGAAATCTTTTTTTGTTGTTTGTTTCTATAGATGATTCCACTATATATATATTTAATATTCTGCTTTTCTTCAACTAAATTTTGCTGAGTGGTTAAATCTTTATTGAAGGAAGACTGGACTATCAACTTCCATAAAGATTTAGCACCTCAGAAACCCAAAGAGGGTCACCATGAGTGAGAATTGACTCAATGACAGTGGATTTGGGTTTTGGGTCTTGATATGCATATGGTTATAATTGAGAATAGATTGTCTTGTTGTGTTAACGAGGCAGGATTAATGTAATTTGTGGCTTGAGTCAATCTCTTTTGAGATATAAAAGAGCTTAAACAACAAATGAATAGAAGTAGAGATGGAAGGAAGAGAAATGTTAAATGATGTGAAGATTCCCCAGGAGCAGAAGCTCAAAGAGACAAGGGCCTTCCTCAAAGGCCAACATAGATAGAAAGTCTTCCCTTATAGATGGGACCATGATTTCTGACTTCTAGTTCCTAAACTACAAGAAAATAGGTATCTCTTTGTTAAAGCCACTCATTTGTGCTATTTCTGTTATAACAGCACTAGATAACTAAAAGAGAATTTGCTACTGAGAAGTGGTTTAAACTGCCAGTTTTCTGGTTAGCAGTCAAATGTCTTACACACTAAACCACCAGAGCTCCCATATTTAGTGTCAGGGGAATTTAATTTATCCACTCAGAAGCATATAAAATGAAGTATATAATACAATTGATTATTATGTTACACATGGTACTAGTAGACTGTGTTACATGGTAATGTGTAAACTTGGAGATATTAGAATTTTCTAGTACAATGGATATTCATCCTTTTATTCATGATTATACTATACATTCTTATGTTAAAAATTGAACAATTAGATTGTTCACCCATGTAACTTTGTTACCCTGCAATTTTCAGAGCTTTCTAGTAGAAACACTTTTTTTTTATTTTATTTATGAAACCAAAAACCTCTTATCATGAACACAAAATTATTTACAGGATGGCTGGATGAATGGGTGGATGGGGAGATGAATTCATATGAAGTTTTTAAGGGCTACTGGAATGGGAGATCTAACTTTAAACTATTTAGCAAATCTTATATTTCTTGTCAGGAATCAAGATTAAAAGGACTAACAGCTGCTTCATGAATCTATTTAAAACTGATATTCACACAATATGCATGTGTAAATGTAAGGAATGGTTAGATTCCACTGCCTCTCAGAAATTGTGATAGCAGACAAATATATAGCACTTCCATACACCACGTTCTATTATAAATATTTTATTTGCACTAATTATATGATCATCCTTAATTTTATGATACATTTAATTACTGTCCACATTTAATAGATTATACATATCTCGTGAAACTATGCTAAATGTATTTCCTCCTAGATGAGAAGCAATGTACCATAATAGCCCAGAGACCAGATATTGAAACCAGGTGGTATAGGTGCATATTCTGCTCTGAGAGCTGATAACTGTGCCACTGTAGCACAAGTTGCACAGACATAGATTTTGCAGGAAGCAAAAGAGTTAGTGACTCAAATCTTAAATATGAAATCAGGGGATCATGAAAATATGTCCATGGCAATGCTTACTGGAGAAATTTTCTTTATCATTGACTTATGTACATGTAACTTGTTTTTTCACTGGTTTCTAACAAAACCTACTAGGCTAAAATCATCTAGTAAAACTTACTATTGTCTTCTGTTTTTATTAAGAATCAGATGAGACAGATTTAATCTTTATTTTTTCATGATAACTTAAAATAACTTACTTTTGACTGAATTTCTCCTTGCTCTGGAAAGAGTAAACAATCATGGCAATGGTATCTATAGAACTAACCAAAAAAAACAAACTCACTGCTGTCGAGTCAGATCTAACTCACAGGAACCCCTCTTTAGGTTTCCAAGGCAGTATCACTATGGAAGTAGATTGCTCCATCTTCCTTCCAAGGAGTGGCTGGTGGGTTTGAACCATCAGCCTTCTGGTTAGCAATCAAATGCCTTAGGCACTATGCCACCAGAGCTTCCATGTATGGAACTACACACTTTAATATTACCATGTGATGATAGATCTAATTTTTAAAAGAAAAATATTTAAATTACTTCTTTAATTCATAAAGCTCAAGGGAAAAAAATGAGAGGAAAACTTCCAGAAAATACATAACTTTTTCAATTCTCCATGTGATAAAATTAGTTATCAATGATATTTGAAGGACAATATAGTAGCTACCAGGAAGAACTACTGAATTAGCTAAATTAAAAAAAAAAAAAAAACTTATTTTTAAAAGTAAAAACATAAGTACCTGAACAACTTTTTGGGACTGCACATCGACAATAAGAATTCTGTCCAAAGTTGGCTGTGCAACATATATGAATTTGTCTTTGACATTAACAGCTGAGGCCCACATGCATTTCTGAACTTCATCTCCATCAGCTTTAGGACAGACTTCATCCTGTAATTTAAGACACAGAAAATGAATGATAATTTTAAATTATAACATATAGATACCACAATCTTATGGATAAAATTAACGATTGGTACTTCACTACTTTCTGCATCAAAAATGAAATAAAATATAAGGGGTTAAATTAATGCAAATATATAGAAAGTATATTTTGATCCATTAAATCTGATTAGAAATCAATGTAATTGAGAAAAATTTAAAATATATTTCATAAGGCCTTTGTTTTTCTAGCAGTAGAATTTCATTACTAATTGTTTATACATAGCTGTTTGTTTATACATAACAAACAATACATTAGAAATCCACTGTTATCTCTAAAATCTCCAAATGTGTTTAAGTATTTTTAAAGAGAGTAAATTGCACACTGTAGTATATTCAGAGATTCCAAAACACTCTTGGCTGCCTTTCTCCTGACTCTCCATGGTGTTAGACCATCTAAATAATTTGTCAAAATCTATGAAATCCACAGGAAAATCATTAAATAAAACTTCTTATTTGTGGTGAATCAGAAGATTAGAGAAATTAATATGTAACTACCTATTACAATGGTTATTTTTTTCTTCTAGTTTGATAATTAATCACAATCTGTTATCATGGCCAAGATTAAAAACCCTTTAATCTGTTTCAGATTTGTTATCAGACCCTTTTACCTTAGAAGTGCCTTTAGTTGAAGATTTTACAGTTTGTGCCAGATAATCACAAGTTGGGCAAAAACACCCCCTATTTCCTTCTTCACTGCACATTATGAATAAATGAATGGTGAAGGTAAACATAAGCCTTTGGGATTTATCCTGACAGACATATCACATGTAGCAGTAATTACAAAATGTTATCTAGCTCAATATTTTTTTTTTTCAGATTTTTTTTCTCCCCACTAGTGTACTAGTATGCCATTTCAATCAATTTGCTCATAGTTAGAAAATCAACAAGATAATGGTAGATTTGTTAAATTTTACATAAAATATATAATGATAAACATTTATTTATATAATGATAATGATATAATGACAAACAAGTATTCCAATATTTCATTAAGTCTGATAATTGATAGCTGATGTCTAATTTCATGAATTTGTATACTCCAGTCTCTACTTTCCAAGTTAAATTGGACTACTCTCTTTGTTCTCTAGTTCACATAAAAATATAGTCTTTTCAGCAGAGATCCTATTCAGGACTTTATTTAATAAACAGGAAACAAAATCAACAACACACATTATTAGCACAGTTATGAATTTATTTTTACTTTAAGACAATATCTGACAGTAAATAAAATCAATAAAAATTTGACCTTTAGTCACTGTCCTAGTTCTCTAGTGCTCTTATAATAGACGTACCACAAATGGATGGCTTTAACAAACAGAAATTTATTCTCTTACATTTTAGGAGGCGAGAAGTCCTAGTTCAGAGTGCTGGTTCTAGGGGAAGATTTTCTCTCTGCATGTCTCCTGTCCGAGGAGGATGTCAGTGCAGGGACCCTCAGTTGAAAGTATCCACTTCTGGCTCCTCTATCTTGGTAGTAATAGGTCCCCCTACTCTCCTCCCTTCTCTCTTTTCTTATCTCTTGTAAGAAAAATGACATTGCAGACCACACCCAGGGAAGATCCCTTTCCATGTATCAGTGCTGTGATGGGACTATGATTATTTCAATTTACCTTAATCTTAATCCTTTTACACCTGATTGGGTTATCACATCAGATCACATCATGGGATTTCATTACTTCACACAGGGTGTCTGCCACATTGCATCATTACAAAACTTCTAACCCACTGAGAAGCATGGCTCACAGAAGTTGAGAAAAATTTCAGAAGGACTGTGGTGTAGTGGATTACTTGATAAAGCTTTTCTTCTTGTTGTTCTGTGCTGTCGAGTCGTTGCCGATTCATAGCGACCCCATGCACAGCAGAACGAAACACTGCCCGATCCCGCACCAGCCCCACAATCCTTGCTATACTTGATCCCATCATCGCAGCCACCCTATCAATCCATCTCGTTGAAGGCCTCCCCCTCTTTCATCGACCCTCCACCCTACCAAGCATGACATCCTTCTCCAGGGAATGGTCCCTTCTGACAACATGACCAAAGTAGGTGAGACGAAGTCTGGCCATTCTTGCTTCCAAGGAGCATTCTGGCTGCACTTCCTCCAGGACAGATCTGTTAGTTCTTTGAGCAGTCAACGGAACTTACAGCATTCTTCACCAGCACCACAACTCAAAAGCATCAACTCTTCTTCGGTCTTCCTTATTCATTGTCCAGCTCTCACATGCATACCAGGCGATTGGAAATATCATGGCTTGTGTCAGGCGCACCTTAGTCCTCAAGGAGATATCCTTGCTCCTCAGCACTTGAAACACTTCCTTTGCAGTTGACTTTCCCAATGCTACACGTCGTCTAATGTCCTGACTGCTGCTTCCATTGGCATCGATTGTAGAACCAAGCAATGTAAATTCTTTGACAACCTCAATCTTCTCTCCATTTATTGTGATGCTGCTCATTGGTCCAGTTGTGAGGAATTTTGTTTTCTTTATGTTGAGATGTAATCCATACTGCAGACTGTATTCTTCAACCTTCATCAGTAGGTGCCTTAAGTCATCCTCACTTTCAGCAAGCAAAGTTGTATCATCTGCATATCTCAAGTTGTTAATGATTCTTCCTCCAATCCTGATACCACGTTTTTCTTCATAGAGTCCAGCTTCTCGGATTATTTGCTCAGCATATAGATTGAGTAAGTGTGGAGACAGAATACAACCCTGACACACTCCCTTCTTGATTTTAAACCATGTAGTGTTCCCTTGTTCTGTTTGAACGACAGCCTCCTGGTCAAGGTACAGATTCCTCATGAATACAATCAAGTGCTCGGGGATTCCCATTCTTCTCAATGTTGTCCACAATTTGTCATGATCCACACAATCAAATGCCTTTGCATAGTCAATAAAACACAAGTCAACATCTTTCTGGTATTCCCTGCCTTGAGCCAAGATCCATCTGACAACAGCTATGATATCCCTTGTTCCACGTCCTCTTCTGAATCCGCCTTGAACCTCTGGAAGTTCTCTGTCAATATACTGCTGCAAACGTTTCTTAATTATCTTCAGTAAGATCTTACTTGCATGTGATATTAATGATATTGTTCTATAATTTCTACATTCTGTGGGATCACCTTTCTTTGGAATGGGCACAAATATGGCTCTCTTCCAGTCAGTTGGCCAGGTAGCTGTCCTCCTAATCTCTTGGCATAACTGAGTGAGTGCCTCCAATGGGGCATCTGTTTGTTGAAATATCTCAATTGGTATGCCATCAATTCCCGGAGCCTGTTCTTCGCCAGTTCTTTCATTGCAGCTTTCACTTCTTCCTTCATTACCATTGGTTCTAGATCATATGCCACTTCCTGAAATGGATGAAGATCCATCAGTTCTTTTTGGTACAGTGACTCTGTGTATTCCTGCCATCTTCTCTTGATGTTTCCTGCATCATTCAATATTTTGCCCATAGAATCTCTCAATATTGCAACTCGAGGCTTCAATTTTTTCTTCAGTTCTTTCAGTTTGAGAAATGCTGAGCGTGTTCTTCCTTTTTGGTTTTCAGACTCCAGGTCTTTGCACATTTCATTCTAGTAATTGGCTTTGTCTACTCGAGCTGCTCTTTGAAATCTTCTGTTCAGCCCTTTTACCTTTTCATTTCTTCCATTTGCTTTAGCTATTCTCCGCTCAAGGGCAAGGTTCAGAGTCTCCTCTGTCATTCACTTTGGTCTTCTCTTCTTTTCTTGTCTTTTTAGTGATCTCTTGCTTTCTTCATGGATAATGTTCGTGATATCTTCCCATAATTCATCTGGCTTTTGGTCATTGGTGTTCAATGCATCAAATCTATTCTTTAGATGATCTCTAAATTCAGGAGGGATATATTCAAGATCATACTTTGGCTCTCTTGGACTTGTTTCCACTTCAACTTCAAACTGAATTTGCCTATGAGCAGTTGATAGTCTGTTCCACAATCAGCTCCTGGCCTGGTTTTGGCTGAAGAATAGCTTTTCTAGCCATAGTCTTTTTTACTCCCACTGGGTTACTGAGTGGGACCATGCAAATAAGATGTATAGAACTCTGGTGTTGGGATTGGTTAGTTTTGTCACTCTGCCAGACTTAAAATGAACCCCTCCTAGAGGCAGAAAGGGGGCTCTCACTGCCATCAAGAGAGAAGAACTGGGGTTGGAGTATACCACTTCCTTGGGCCCAAGATCCCTATACTGGGCCTCCTTGATAAAGACTCTGGAAGAGATGCCTCAGCAGAGACACTATGGTAGAAATGCCTGACAGAGAGACAATGGCAGTGGAACCAAGAGACATAAGACCAAGCAGTGACTGTATCAACTCATGAGAGTGGGAAAGCTGAGTGTCCTTGGGCAGGAGTGGGGTGGCCCTGGGTGTACCTATCAGCAGAGCTAAAAGAGCTTTGTAACACTTGCCCAAGCAGGGCAGAGAACTGGCCAAGAGGCTAAGGGTCAGAGAGGTGAGCCTGAGGGCATCCTCATAGAAGAAATGTATCCTGTGTGTGTTCCTCAACCTGAATTGTAGCCTGTTACTTCCCTAACAAACCCTATAATCATGAGTAGCCTGTTACTTCCCTAACAAACTCTATAATCATGAGTATTCTCTGTGAGTTCTATGTGGTCATTGCAATAAATTATTGAACCAAGCAAAGAAGTAGTAAGTACCATTGGAGAGAAGGTTGGTGTCAGAGTTCGTAAAAAGGTTGGAGGGTGGTGGTACGTCTGGTCTTATAGGAATAAGCCTTGGACTATTGATGGTGACTCTGTCTCCCCCTCCTGAGGTTGAAGGAGTCAGATGATGCCCCCCCATGCCCTTTTTGTAAGGACACAATGCAATCCATGACAGTCACTAAACTGAATACTTAAGTAATTTTTATTATGTGTGATATCACAAATACAGTAGATTTTTTAATTTGTATAAAATATGAAAATGATGTAAAAATCAGG